GTTTAACCAGGGAGCCTACTTCCTCCGCCTGCCACTCCCTCTTCTTGTGCTCTCTCTCTCTCTCTCTCTCTGTCAAATAAGTAAATAAAATCTTTAAAAAAAAATCAATTGACTGTAAGTGTGAGGGTTTGTCTGGACTCTAAACTCCATTGATCTGTCTGTCTATCCTTATGCCCATACCCAAACCATCTTGATTACTTTAGTCTGTAGGAATTAGGGAAAGTGGGAAGTGTCAGCTTTGTAGCTTTATTCTTCTTTTTCAAAATCATTCTGACCATTCTGAGTTCCTCGAATTTCCATATGAATTTTAGGATCAGCTTGCCCATTTTCTTTCTTAGCCTTCCACTCCCTCACTACTCCCATATTTTCAACACCCTATATGGTAGCTCAGGTTTCAACTGCAAACCAGACGTGGGGTCAATGGTTGTATGACCAAGAGCAAGTTGCTTCACCTATCTGTACAATCATATTATAATATCTACTGTCCAGGGTCAATAGTGTAAAGATTAGATCAAATGCCGTAATATATTAAAGCTCGCGGAAGAGCCCGTGGATTGCTTAGTCATCTCATTGTCTTGTAAACAAGTTGTTGTCATAAAAATAGGAATGGCCAGGGGCACCTGGGTGGCTCAGTGGGTTAAAGCCTCTGCCTTCGGCTCAGGTCGTGGTCCCGGGGTCCTGGGATCGAGCCCCGCATCGGGCTTTCTGCTCAGCGGGGGGCCTGCTTCCTCCCCTCTCTCTCTCTCTCTCTCTCTCTCTCTGCCTGCCTCTCTGCCTACCTGTGGTCTCTGTCAGGTGAATAGATAAAATCTTTAAAAAAAAATAGGAATGGCCACCTTTCTGGGGGGCCCTTGATTAATGCCAGACAGGGAGCTAAGCACCTGACCTGAATTATCATGTTCAATCCTCATAATAACCCATGAAGTGAATATTGTTATTTCCCCTTTTATAGATGAGGACATGAAAGGTAAGGCACAGAGGAATCAAGTGACGTTGGTAAGGCAGGTGACCGTCCTGGCAGGTGACATTCAGATCCAGAGGGTGGCCCTTGACGGGGCCATGCTACTGGGAGAGGCTTGAAAAGGTGGGTTCTGGGCTGACTTCCAAGAAGTGGGTCTTAGGAAGCGTGCAGATGCTCGTCACCCACACCCTGGGATGCACCAGGGGTCACCCCCCAGATTCTGCATCTCCCTCTCCTCCAGGCACTTCAGGCAGATCTAACAGGTAAAATGGAGCCAAACTAACCTCTTGTGGCCCCTGTCTCAGTCCTTCATCATCCCTCCCCTGGGCAGCTTCCATAACCTCCAGCCAGCCTCCCTGCCGCCCCCCACCCCTCCCTGGTCCCTTTCTGCCGCACTCACTGGTGGATCCAGTCATGTCACTAGACCACAGATCTGACCTCTTTTAAACTCTGCACGTCCAAAGCATGGGAGGCCCTGCTGCCCCCACGATCCAGGCTGAGCTCCCAGGTGAGAGGCACTGCGTGAACCTTGAGTTCAGACAGACCACAGTTCAAAATGCCAGCTCTGCCCTTACCTGAACTCTAAAGCCCCGTTGCCTTGGGGATGAAGTGTGTGTTCCTGGTAAGTGGGACCCAAAGCACTTAGCAACGTCATAGGCAAGCTGAGCTCTGCTCTCCGCTGCCCTGCTGCCCAAACCTCCCCATCCTGTTCTCACAACTGTCTACTCTTGCACTATTCAGGGCCATCGGGGCCCCCTCTCCCTTCCTGGGACATGTCTTCAAGTATTCGGAGTCATTTCTTATCCAAGCTCACAGCCCAACCCCCTAGGCTACTGTCCCCTGGCCCGCATCACACAGCTTTGGGTTTGATGTTACCTCCTTGGTCTTGGGGTGACTCACCCCGGAAAGGCAAACAGGACAGCCGCCCTTGCTGCCGTTCCGCAAGGATGGGACCCCTGCTCCCTGCTCACTGCCAGGCACAGCTCTGCGTTCCTCACCTGTTCCTCTCCTTCCAGCTGCTCGATTAGTCTCCAACCTCCTCCTCCCTCCTCTGCTGCCTGGGTGCATGTTCGAGGGGAGGGGACCCTCAGACGGTACCTTGGCTGGGGTCCCCAGGTTTCAGCTATACCTGGGTCATGGTCACAGTTTTTTGTTCTATGTTCATTCACACTATTGGTCCCATGACCAACTTTACTGTTTTTTGTCAATTTGTATTTTTCACTTTGGGAAAACCTTCTATCGCTACCATCAATATTTAACACCCCTTATCATAGAGGGTCGCCTTGATAAGACATACTTAAATGAAAGTGACACATGCCTGTTTTGGTATCACGTGGTCATGTGACTGCCACACTTGGGGAGAGGCAGATCAGGCCACGTCTCCCTTCTCAGATGGAGAAACCATGGCGGGCAAGGGGCAGAGTCTGAGCTGGAGGCAGGGGGTTCAGAACACTCCCAGGGCCCCCCTTCTTTCTCCTCTTTCCTCTTCACCGCCTTTCCCCAAGTCTGCTCTGTTTGTACCTGCTGCTATCTGGCCCTTCTCTGACCTCTTCCCTTCTCCTCCCTTCTCCCCTCCCCCTCTTCTTCCTCCTTCTTTCTATTTTCTATTCTGCTTTCCTAGAATCTCCTTCTCTTTTTGCTTTCACCCAAGACTGGGCTTTTCTTTTCTTTTTTTTTTTTAAGGGCCTTGAGGAAAAAAATGGGGCGTCTGGGTAGCTCAGTCAGTTAAGTGTCCAACTCTTGATTTCAGCTGAGATCATGCTCTCAGAGTCATGGGATAGAGCCCCAGAGTGGAGCTCTGCACTCAGCACAGATGCTGCTTGAGATTCTTGCTCTCTCCCTCTGCACCTCCCCAACCCAGCACATTGGTACTCTCGTGCTCTCTCTCTCTCTCTCTCTCTGTCTCTTTCTCTCTCTCAAAGAAAGAAAGAGAGAAAGAGAAAGAGAAGGCTTTGTCTCTAAAGAATGTTCCTAATCAGGGCAAAGCACCCCACCCCAAACCGTCTCACCCAATGACCTTCTGCCATACCACCAGCTCTGGTTGCAACACGAGGACAGCACGGGCTTCCTGCCCTGTTCAGCCCTGTCCTCATTCTTCTCCCACATGCTGCTTCTGCCTGATGTCTTCCTACTCTCCACACTCTGTCCCAGCACTCCCTGACCTCTGAACTGTTAAGAAGCAAATCTTTTTGAACAGATGTCCTAAGATGGAATCATGGCAAGCCCCTGCATGTATAAAGGACATCTCATTTAAGTTCCTCCATACCCTGCCAGGTGAGGACCATCCCTGCCAGAAGCTGAGGGTACAAAGCTGAGAAGGAGTTGAGTGGGACACTCTGTATTTTCCATTCCCTAAAGATGGGCAGTGAAGAGATCAGGTGTTGCTGGACCGGCCCCCCTCAGGGGACCTGCCTCCTGACTCCTCCATGTCCATGCCGATCCCAGTCATGCTGGGCAGAGATCACATGGGAGTCCTTGGTCGAGAAGAGAGTGACTCAGAGTTGGTCCATCACACATTCATTCAATAAACACCGGCCCTGCTGTAAAGGATCTGTATGGAGTTGGTGGGCAGGGGAAGGGGACATTGATCTTGGTGTTCACAGTCCCGTGGGAGACACAGACACACAACCGGCTATCATCCGGGTGCCCTGTGACACCGGTGTTGCCGCATGCCCTGGATACCCAGAGCAGGGAGGCCAGAGAAAGCTGAAGATTTATTTCCATGAGAAGTGGAATGGAGAACATTGGAGAGAGGGGCTGGAAAGGGAAGGAGCCGTGACAAAAGTCCAAATATGGGGTCCCAGCCTGGGATCCTGGAATGGGGAAGAGAGTGAAGTGGGTGCCATCTCCCACTCTGTCTGCCAAGGTCTCCTCTGTCTCTAAGAACAGCACTGCTCCTTATGACCTACAAAGCCCTCCTGTGGCTACCCGTTTCTTGACTGTCCAAACCTCAGCACAGTCAACAGCTCCAAGTGCATCCCCCACTTCCCTTCCAGCAGAGCTGGTCAGCAGAGCTGCCCCCCTTTCCACTTACACCCCTTGTCTCAGGTTGGGTCCTCAGAACTGACCCTGAAAGGAGGATTCATGGCAAATGGTTCATTAGGCAATGCTTCCAGGGGAAACCAGCAGGGCAGAGGGGAAACAGATGAGGAAAGGGAGAGGGTCAGCAGAGTCCAGTTACACAGAGGGAAACTGGCTTAACCCAGCTGGGATCTCAGGAAGCAGCATAGGGCATGTCTGTGTCCCTCTAGCAGACCTATATCGGGGTCTGCCCTGCGGATGTGGGTTTCTAGGCACTTCCCATTTACTCAGAGCCTACCGGCCAGGTGGCTCCAGCAGCTTGGGCACTAGAAATGCAAGGTCACCAAAAGCCAGTGTGTGTGCACAAACAAGGTGAAGGGGTCCAAGGGCGTATGGACAACAAGAGCATCTGTTCTGCTCCAGGCCCGCTCGGTCAGCACCTGTGTTGGTTCATTACACACACGGGCTCGTGTTTCTGCCTCCCCACCGGAAGCCCAGCATGTTGCGCATAGCCTAGTGAGAGTTGTAGAACGTCAACTCGTTGAATGCGCCTGGGTAGCTCAGTAAGTTGAGCATCTGGCTCTTGGTTTCGGCTCTGGTCATGATCTCAGGGTCGTGAGTTCGAGCCCCCGTCGGGCTTCATGCTCAAGGGGAGTCTGCTTGAGAGTCTCTCTTTTTCCCTCTCCCTCTGCCCTGCCCCCGACAAGAGACTTGGTGAATGAATGAATGGATGGTTGGATGGATGAATGGATCCATGCATGAATGAATGGAAGGAGATAGGGTGACTTCACCCACTTTCAGTGAAAGAAACTAAAGTTCAGATAGGTGAGTGACTTATCCAGGATCCCAGAGGACGTGAAGGGTACACCAGGGATCCTTGTCAGCCTCCTGACTCTGCATCCAAAGCTTCCACCCTTCACTTGGGCGGGGCAATCCTCTCCTCCCTCAGCCTTTGTTAGAAGACGCCACATAACCCCTGACTCAGCTAGGCAATAACTTCCCCTTGGCCAAATTCAAGGGCCTTGAGGACATTCAAAGCAGCCTGGAGGGGGGAGGAGTGGGGGGGAGGTTCTATGAGTGCACAGTTCCTCCCATTGATCCTTATAAAAGGCAGAGGGAGGTTGGGGTGGTCTGAAAGGCACCTGATCCTCTCCTCCCGCACCCCAGCTCTAGGTCCTGAGCTCCATCTCCCTCTCATGGCAGGCCTTGCGACCCTGGGGGCTGGCCTCCTGCTCCTGACCCTGTGTGCCCACTGCATTGCCCCTGCAGGTAAGACCTCCAAGCTTAGGGGCAACTGGGTGGCTCAGTCTTTGGGTGTCTGCCTTCGGCTCCGGTCATGGTCCCAGGGTCCTGGGATCAAGCCCCGTATTGGGCCCCTTGCTCTGTGGGAAGCCTGCTTCTCCCTCTCCCACTCCCCCTGCTAGTGTTCCCTCTCTTGCTGTGTTTCTCTGTCAAAAACAAAACAAAACAAAACAAACCTCTGTGCTCAGCCCGGCGCTGTCAGGCAGGTCTGCCAAGAGCGTAGCTGAGAAAGTGGGGGATGCACTTGGACTAGGACAAAGCAGGCTGGGTTTGGAGGGGAATGTCGAGGAACAGCTGCTCCGGGACTGGGCTGGAGGCATTAGGATAGGGGATGTACTCCATCCCTGAAGCCCAGGGTCTCAGGCAGCCTGGGAAGGAACACGGTTCTCCTCTCTCCCATCTTTTAGGCTCTGCACCCATCCCCTCTTCCTGCTGCATGTCCTTCATTTCCAAGAAAGTTCCTGAGAACCGAGTGGCTAGCTACCAGCTGTCCAGTGCGAGCGTCTGCCCTATGGCAGGAGTGATGTGAGTATCCCCCTCTCCCTGAGCGCGCGGCAGGAGAGGGACAGGGGACATGAACCTCTAGGGTCACTGTCTACACAAGGCCCTGCTTTGGGCACGTAGAACTTGACCTTAACTAAGCCTCTGGACCGTTCTATGAGCTAGATGGGATTATTCCCATTTTACAGAGAACTGAGGCCCAGAAAGGTGACCTGCTCAAGGTCACTGGGGGTCCGGATAAGTTCATAGCTGCCTCCCACACAAGGCAGCAAGTGTGAGCTCACTGTGTAACGGCGGCCTACTGTAGAAATGGGACCTTGGTATTATGAGTAGTTTTGCGCCCGGCACCAGAGCCAGCTCTGTAGCCTGACACCCACTAGCTCAGAGCTGGCTGGGCAGAGGGTATCCTACCGCCCCCTCCCTGCTCTGGCATCTTTATGAATTGCCTTTCTCCCAAAAGGCTTGTGGACTGGAGGCATCTGCCTTTTTTCCTGGGGGATTTCAACGCAGTTTCTCCTCCCCTCTCCTCCCTGTGGGTAGGGATTGTGTCTCTCTCTTCAAATCCAAGCATTTTCTGAAGGCAGCGTAGGGCCTCCCCTGTCAGACAGGGAGGTTGCTGAGCATGCGCAGAGATGCAGACACCCAGGGAGAGGGCCGTGTTTTCGGGACCCTGCTAGGAGGACCCCCGCCGCCACCCCCCAGGCAGCAGCTTGCCCTGTGCAGGCCTCCACGCCCGCCTCCTCATCTGGGGAAGTGGTCCGAGGTCTCTGCCGGCTCTCACGTGTGCCCTTGTCGCCCTTCCCATAGCTTCACCACCAGGAAGGGCCAGAAGTTCTGTGGCGACCCCAAGCAGCACTGGGTCCAGATGTACGTGAGGAAGCTGGACGCCAGGCGGAAGAAGGCGTCCCGTGGGGTCCGGGCGATGACCACCAAAGCCCCAGTGCAGGGGAAGCCAGCCAACACCACCGCCATCTAGCGCCGCCTGGCCCTCAGCCTGGGGTCCATGAGCCAATGAGGACAGGCGGGGAGCGAATGTTCCTGTTTCCTAACATCAGCCTATAAGACAGAACCCAAGGCTGGGGAGGCCTGCCCTGGGGGTGCTGAGTAACCGCTCCAAGGGTCCTGGGCCCCTTGCCTTCCCCGAGCTGTAGAAGAAGATTCTGGAAGGAAGGGGGGTGGTGGCCAGTTGTCCTTCTCCTGGGCTGGGGCCAGCCCTTCTCTGCCTTCCAGGTTCCATCGGAACCCAGGGGCCTGAGGCCTGACCTGCAGACACACTCGGCTGGCCACCTAAAAACTTAGCCTACAGTTGGCTTCTGTGGGTCCTCGGGGCCTGCAGTGGGACCCTGTGGACTGACCATCTGTCTGTCTGGGTACGGGGGACCTGTCGACAGCTGAAGCTCGTGGCATTGCCAATGTCCCACTTCCAGAATCCCGGAAGAATAAAAATCTGAGAAAAATGGGGCTCCTTTGCCACAGGAACTGCCAGACCCCAGCCTTCCTTGCACATGCCTCGTGGGCTAAACGGAATGACGTTTTTAGGGACTCATCATTTTTTTTTTGTAATAAAGCAGGCCTGGAGGACCAAGCTGAGGGGCCAGCCTGGGTAGTTTAAATCCTTGGGGAAGAAGGAGGGTTTGGAAGAGGAGGTCCACTTTGTGGCATGACCTGTTCCGTGTTCCTTTGGGGACAAAGACCCGGTGTGCCTTTAAAGGTGGTCTTTCCCTACATTTGGGGGATGGGAAGGTGGAGTGGGAGCTTAGAGGGAGAAGATTCCAGGGCTTTAAAGAAATTTTTTTCCCCTGTATATGAGATAGCATGTGATGTAGAGGTCAAGGGCGTGGAAACACTTGCTCCTCTCAAATAACGATCCAAGTAAAATGTGATTTCCCTTTGAAGGTGATTGTGTCTTGACTGTTCTCTTCCTGGAGGGACAGGGTTGGGGTATGAACAATGGAGTGGGTGTCCCAGAGAGCATCCTGAGTTGCCCATCAGAGGAGATAAAGGCAGCCCGACCCCAGGACATCCTGGGAGTGATCTTGTCCTGCCTTTGGGAGTCCTGCTGTGAACTTTGGAAACCGTTCATGCACAGCTGGGTTCAATTAAATTTTTAGAAACTTTTCAACCAAGCACATTATTGCACAAGGCTATGAAATGCAAAATATGGGGCGCCTGGGTGGCTCAGTGGGTTAAAGCCTCTGCCTTGCTCGGATCGTGATCTCAGGGTTCTGGGATCGAGCCCCGCATAGGACTCTCTGCTAGGCGGGGAGCCTGCTTCCTCCTCTCTCTCTGCCTGCCTCTCTGCCTACTTGTGATCTGTCTGTCAAATAAATAAATAAAATCTAAAAAAAAAAAAAAGAAATGCAAAAGATGGTCTTTGGCTTCAGAGAATTAGGAGAAAATCACACACACACACACACACACACACACACTCACAAATCAAGAGCAGTGTGGACTTAGTACCAATCCTAGCTCATAAGCTGCATGACCTTGACATATGTCACTTAAGTTCTCTGAGACTCAGTTTCTCTCATCTGTAAAATGGGGACAATAAGCCGTTTTCACATGGGAGTTTTCCCTGGAAGCAGACCACAAAAGGAAGATTCGAGAGCCAAGATTATGCACTGGAGGGACAGGGAGTAACCTCAGGAAGGTGGGGAGGTGATACAAGGCAAAGGAAAGTAGCCTGTAAGGGAGCATCACCAGGCAGAGAGCAATTTGAGCTGAAGTTTCTGGAAAGTGGTGTGAGACCCACCTCCTCAGCATCACAGCCCCGCTCGCTCTGTTGGTCACTGCTAGCTGGGGGGCGGGGCATGCGTGTTCTGCAGGGGGGATGGGAAGCAGAGCAGCCTTCCTCTGCTCCAAATGAGCCTTCAGACACGGAGTCTGCAGAGCCCACAGAAGGCGTGGCCAGAGACATTCAGTGTGCGGCTGATCTCGAGGTTCTTGTAACTCCACTTTGAAGCAGAACTAAGAGTAGGGCTAGCAGTTCAAAGGAGGGGACGTTCTGGTGTGTGTTGAGGGGGGTGTGCAGCAGTCCTTAGCACAGAGTTGCCATCTGGATAGTGACCGAGATTCCCCTCTAGTGAGAAGAGCATATCTGTAGGGATGGACGAGAGCTGGAGCCTTCAGGGATGAGAGGCCGAGTTGCAAACGGACAATGGCCAGACCGTGGACAGACCAGATGACAAAAGAACTCTGACCCAAGGTCCTGGCAACCACCAGCCCAGACCATCACAACTTGGCTGGAGGTGGCCGGCTTCCTGGTTTCCCCTGCTTTTTCCAACTTAGGACCAACCAGAGAGAGCCAACTCTATTCCCCAATCAAACACACCAAGATGCTTCTTTCTCCATGCCAACCCCTCCAATGAGAGCATACCTGAGCCTTCCCTTTTGGCCACTCTGGGGCTCCTCCCAGTCCCTGGTCTGTCTGGGTGTCTCTGCCAAACACAAGTGAGAGTGGCCGCCTCTCTTGCTGTAGCAAGCTCTGAATGGAGAATGTCTTTGTCTTCATCTGGGTGGTCTTTGTTTATTTCCACAAGGAAGTTGTATAGTCTGGCCTCACTTTGCACCTCTGTAAAATGGGCATAATAGAAGGGTTTATCTCATGGGTTGATGGTGAGGACTCAGGAAGGCACATGGGACGTACCCCCCAGATGGCCAGTCTTACATGATGACATAATACCCTCCTGCCCTACCTCTGGACAGGCCACCAGCACAATGACACCGAGTCACCCACATTCTTTCTTAAGCTCTTTTGGGAAGGAGACATTCCAGAGATGGAAGGTGTGGTAGGAGCTGGCCGTGGAGCTGGGTTCAATCTGTGGCCATGTTAGGGCAAAGTTGACCTGTGTTTGGGAGAGCACCCTGCCCCCAGAAAAACCTGTTATGATTCATTAAAATTGAGTTAAAAGTTCTTTGCTAAGCACACAGCTGGTATGTCAAAAGGTTCTATTGTAACCCAAGAGCAGAACAGGAGGGGAGCATTTGAGGCCTTGAGGTCAAGGGGTGGGAAAGAGATGGAGACACCTACCAGCCATTCTCCATCCTCGCTGGACTGTGAATCTGCTGTGAAGCTTTAAATCCAGATTCCTGGACCCCACCCCACACCCGGTGACTCAGGCTCTTACTGGAATGCCACTGGGAAATCTGCAGTCTTTTAAAAAAGTTGTCCAAATCCGTGCACCCACTGTGGGAAACAGTATGGAGGACCCTCAAAGAATTAAAAATAGAGGTACCAGGGGCACCTGGGTGGCTTAGTTGGTTGGGTGACTGCCTTCAGCTCTGGTTGTGATCCTGGAGTCCTGGGATCGAGTACCGCGTCAGGATCCCTGCTCCTCGGGGAGCCTGCTTCTCCCTTTGACCTCTCCCCTTCACACACACTCTCTCTCTCTCATTCTCTCTCTCTCAAATAAATAAATAACATCTTTAGGAAAAAAATAAAAATAGAGCTACCATATGATCCAGCAAACATTGAACTTGAAAAGATAGTCACGTCCCTACGTTCGCTGCAGCCTTAATTCACAAGGACCAAGATACGGGCGCAACCTGAGAGTCCATGGATGGATGGATGGATGAAGAAAAGGAGATTCTATATATGCAATGGAACCTAATTCAGCCATAAAAAATGCTGCCATTTGTGCCAGCACGAATGGACTTCGAGAGCGCGGTGCAAAGTGGAGTAAATTAGGCAGGAAGAGACAAATACTGTATGATCTCCTTGATACGTGGAATCTTTTTTTTTTAATGTTCAATTAGCCAACACAGCGTACATCATTAGATTTTGATGTAGTGCCCAATGATTCATCAGTTGTGTGTGACAGCTAGTGCTCAATCACCACACAGACACGTGAAAAAGTGTTCAACATCACTCGGCATCAGGGAAATACAAATCAGAACCACAGGGAGATACCACCTCTCGCCAGTCAGAATGTCCAAAATTAACAAGACAGGAAACAAGTGTCGGCAAGGATGTGGAGAAAGGGGAACCCTCCTACACTGTTGGTGGAAGGCAAGCCGGAGCAGCCACTTTGGAAAACAGTATGGAGGTTCCTCAAGACATTGAAAATTAAGCTGCCCTATGACCCAGCAATTTCACTACTGGGTATTTACCCCAAAGATACAGATGTAGCGAAAAGAAGGTGCACCTGCACCCCAATGTTCACAGCAGCAATGTCCACAAGAGCCAAACTGTGGACTCTTTAGGAAAAAAGAGAAGAACTCACAGAGACCGAGAACAGATGGGTGGTTGCCAGAGGCAGGTGGGGTGGGGTGAGCGCGTGAAATGAGTGTGGGTGGTCGAAAGGTACGGACTTCCCGTTATACAATGAGTAAGTCCTGGGGATCCCAGGTGCAGCACGGGAACTGGAGTTAATGAAACTGTATCGCCTGTTTGAAAGTTGCTAAGAGAGAACATAGTGCAAGGAAAGAATTGTAACTATGCGTGGGAACGGATGGTAACTTACTAGAGTGACGATTTGGCAATATATACGTAGACATATACACCTGAGATGAATATGAAGTTCTGTGGTCTCAGTTGCTTCTGCTTTCAGAAGCTGTGGTTGCTGTGGAAAATTTAAGGTGGAAAAATTAAGGTGGGGATGTCATTATGTCTTATATTTGTTCAAAGCCTTTGAATTTTCCAAGTTTCAGCTCTTCCCTCTATCCCCTTCCCTCCGACTGCTCCTGCCTCTCCTCCCCACTGATTTCTCTTCTCTTCCCCACCAGCCAGCCTTCCTCCTGGGCTCAGGAAGACCCCATCCACCTGTTGAGAGGACAGTGCATGGGTGACGGCAGTCCCTGCCCCCAGCAGATTGGTGCTTCTAGAAAGGCGGCTTCTCTGTCTTCCCCATCCCCACTTCCTTCTTGGAAACAGACCTGCCTGGAGAGACTGGTTTGGCAGAGGGAGAGATGTTTTGCCAGAATCCGCTTTTAGATCTTGCAAAGCTACTTGTTCCTCAGAATTCTGTGGCTTTGTTT